GGGTAATGGATCAATGCTGGCTTTATTTTTTGAGTTAGTAGAGCAAAACATACATGTAACATACATGTAAGGTTCTGTATTTAAAAAAAGCCGGTAATGTAATATTTTTTTACTTCTTAAATTTGAATTTTACTTTTAAATGGTGGTTTTACGATTTAAAAAAAATTTAGAGGGTGAGGGAGTATTTCTGGCTTTGTTTCTGCCTTGCTGGAGTAAAAATACCTGGTTATAAATTTTTTTAATCAGTTATTTTATTGTTTTACCTCCTGAATTTGATTCTTCAGATTAGGGGTAGTTTTTTCCATTTAAAAAAATTCAGAGGGTGATGGATCAATGCTGGCTTTATTTTTTGAGTTAGTAGAGCAAAACTACATACATGTAAGGTTCTGTATTTAAAAAAAGCCGGTAATATAATATTTTTTTACTTCTTAAATTTAAATTTTACTATTTAAGGGTGGTTTTTCGATTTAAAAAAAATTTAGAGGGTGAGGGAGTATTTCTGGCTTTGTTTCTGCCTTGCTGGAGTAAAAATTTCTGGTTATAAAATTTGTCAATCAGTTATTTTATTGTTTTATCTCCTGAATTTGATTCTTCAGATTAGGGGTAGTTTTTTCAATTAAAAAAATTCAGGGGGTGCTGGATCAATGCCGGCTTTGTTTTTGACTTAGTGGAGCAAAGTTTCGTAGATGTAAAATTCGGTTTTTTTAAAAAATAAGTTGAATTATTTTTTATCTCCGAAGTGTGAATTTGTCCGTTTAAGGGTGGTTTTGGTCGATTTAAAAAAAAACTGTGGGTGATGGATATATTCTGAGCTCAGATTCGGTTTCAGCGGCCCAAAATACTATAGGAAATATATGTCTAGTTCAAGAAACAGACAACTTTTTTTTGGTGTGCCTCTGTTATTATTATTTTTTTTATAACAAAAATGTTACGGTGACGTGACACCTCCCCCCAAATCGAGCATGGTTGTGAAACGAAATGCAACAACATGGTCGACAATTTTGTTTACATATATTAGAAGATTTTTTTTTAGTTTGTTTACATAAATTATTTAAATGAAAGTAAGTATATTCGTAGATTTATTAATTACATTGTGATCGTGATTAAATTCCTTTTTTGTTTTTCTTTGTTTAAATGAGCTTATAAATAGAGATGAGTCCTTTCATATCGAAGTACTAATTTAGAGAAGTTTTACATTAATTTTTTGTTTAATTTTAACCATACATAATAATTAGGTAACGATGTTACTAATATCTAAACATTTTATGCAGAGACATCGTAATTTTATTTGATACAGAGTTATAAATTTTATGTTATTACAATATAAATTTGCCTGTCTTGATAATCTATCGTTAATTCAATATTATGTATATGAAAAAAATATTATCCATATTATTATTATTCGTTTTTTAATGAGAAAAAAAAATTAGAATTCTTTTTAAATTTTATCTTTAAATAAATGTTAACCTTTTTACTTCAAATTGAAGGTTTCTATAATTGTAAATTAATTTTGAAGTTGCAACGAAATATTTCGTATAATTTTTAATTTAGAATGGCATTTTATTTTATTTTTTTACTTTTTATTATGTTATTTATGTATTTATTTATATTTTAAAAAAAATTTTTTTTTTATTTATATATTTTTTGTGTTTTTCTTCAAATTATTATAATCGATGAGTGATTTGAATGTAGGGTGATAGGTGGAATATCTAAAATATATATTCGTGCATATGTTATTGAAATTAAATAATGGCAATATATGGATTCCCTGTCAAAAACCCGAAAACATGTATGAGTGATATATATTAAAAAGGCTGTTTTTCATCCATAATATTGTGATTTTGGTAAGTATTTATTTTCATTATTTTATTGAGTAACATTTTTTTATTGTTATTATTGAATTTATTACAGTATTTTTAATTTATTTCGGAAAAAAGGCATGTTTGGATGACTGTATTTTCAGTAAGTTTGTAAAGAATATTAGGAGTTGATAATTAAAAGATTTTGATAGTAAATAAAAAATAATGTTACCATAGAGAAATTTATCCTCTTTTTTTGTTTGGTTTTTCTGAAAAATTAAATATATTTTATATTCCTTTTCTTGATTACCTGGCAATGGTAAATCAAGTTATGATGGTGTTAGCCTAAACTAGAACAGAAAATTATATTAGTTTTTATTCTGTAATTTTGATTTTGTAAGTCTGTTTACGTGTACTATTTTGGGTTATTTTTTATTTCAATTTTAATATTTCCTTTTCCTGGGATTTCTAAAACTTAATGGGGTCCAGTATATTGATCATCAAATTTCTTTGTTTTGTGTCCGCTTAATAAAAATACTTCGTCATCTATGTTGAAATTTTGTGGGTTTATTTTTTTTGTCATAATTTGATTTTGATTTTTCTTTTGCGGTAATTAGATGTTCTCTAGCTATTCCTCTGATTTCATGTTAACGAGTTATTATTTTTATTAAATAATCATCGTATGTTTTAAGTTTTTCATGATCTGCTGGAGATTCACTAGATGGTTGTCTGGCTAATTTGCCGAAAACTAATCCGTAGGTGGTGCAACGTGTTCCTTCATGAATACTAGTATTAAACGAAAAGGTCGCTAATTCAAGCCAGTCGTCCAATTGAGAATTTTTATTTACAAATTGTTTTAAATATTCGGCAAGAACATGATGTGATATTAATTTTTTAATAATAGCATCTGCTATTGTACTTGCTAGTTGATTAGGTAGTGCTATAGCTTAAGCTAAATATTATATAATAATATAATATAATGTAAGGTGTATACCTTATACATTGCGTATGTATGAGTGTCTGTTTGTGTGTCTGTTGACGATTATGTAATGAGTCAGATAGTCAGTCTGTACTCGGGTGTGCGTGGAGAAGGTTCAACTTTTAATAAAATATAATTTTAATTGTATTTGTATTAGTCTACCGCTCATTTACCATCCTCTCACAATAATATATAATATATAGCTATATAATAATATATATAAATAATATATATAAGCTAATAGCCAAAGAATATTTAGTAAAATTATCTTGTATAGTTAATATATATATATTCATTTTCTTTTTCTGTTACAGGTAATGGCCCTACTATATCCATGGAGACCTTTTCAAACGCTGTACCTGGAGTATCTGTGATAACCATAGGATTTTTAGTATTTACGCGCACCAATTTTTTTATTTGGCATTTAAGACAAGATTGTATATATTTTTGTATGTCAAATTTCATATTTTGCCAATAAAAATTTTGACGAATTCTGTTGTACGTTTTTGATACTTTCTTATGTCCTCCTAACGCTGAAGAATGTGCTTCTTCAATCAAATCTTTTTGTTTCTCTTTGGATGGGAATTGGGTTATTCGCAAACAATTAATAATTTTTAATGAAAAATCGGAAAAAACGTCATTTATGATATTTAAAATTTCATTCCAGGATATATGGTTTATTTCTGCAGTTTTTGATATACTGATTGAATGTAATTTTAATTCTCCCGCTTTTACATATAATGAGTTTATAGCTGATTTAATAAAATTTAGTTTATATGTAAGGTTTAGTTTTATATTTGAATCAATTGGTAATACTAAGTGATATTTATTACCACGGTGATATTCCTTGACTTGTCCTAAGGTTAAATTTTGGCAATTCGTTTTTTTGAAAAAGTAATTTTGATCCTGTACCTCTAGGTTCACCTGTTATCGAAGTAAAATAAGCGTAATTATCTTTTCGCATTGTAAGTTGGTCTCTACATTCTATCATGTTTCGTTTTTTAGGTAATTGTTCGACCGACGGAATTTCTTGAGAAGGAGGTGCACTGAAAAAGTCTTAAGCGATCAGCAGTTCCAACAGTGGAAATGCAGTAGCTCTTTGCTTTGGAGTGTCTGGAGCATGATTTTGAGCAACCTCTATGCTAAATGTTGGGCGAGCAGATGTTCCACGTTATTGTTACCAAGATTTGGTGATGCTGCAGCATCAGACTTGGGCACTCAGAGCACCCAAGATGGGAAACAGTTAGCCCCACAATGAAGTTGTGCAGAATCTCTTTATTTGGTGCTTCTCATACATGCGTTGGGAATTCTAAACGCCCAAGACTTTTTCAGTGTGGCTCCGGTGGGGGTCGAGATTTATTATCTGTTGCTTGATGTTTTGTTTTTTTCCATTTCTGGATTAATTTTAGGTAAAAATATTTCTTCTACGGACTCACTTTCGGTTTCATCTGTAAAAAATTCTTTGTCACTGGAACTAGTGTCATAATTTTCTTCATTTTTATTAATATATTCTGGGTCAGAAGAATCATTGCATTTATTTTTTTCATGATTTTGTTTCTTGGGTCTCCCTCTTTTTCTTTGAAGGGGAGCTTTTCTTTTAATAATTTTTGTTTGTTTTTTAGTATTTTTAAATACTTCTACAGATTCACTAGTTTCTCTTCTTGTCTTATTCTTCTTTTTCTTAACATTTTTCCATTTTATTTCTTAATTGAATTCAATTTTCTTATTTTCTTCGAGATTTTCATTATAATTTTTCCTTGCCTAACATTTAGAAAAATGTTGAAAAAAACTAAAGGTGCCGTTTTTTCAAAAATTGATTTTTAATTTTTGAAATTTTCAGAAAAAAATTATTTTTCACTATTTTTTTGTGTGTTACTTTTAATCAAAAATACACTTCAAACGAAAGAATTCCTTTTTGAGAATCTAAAATAGGTTAATTAGAACTAAAGTTACATATCTTTAAAAAAAGTGAAAAAATTTTCAAAATGACATATTTTCGTTCATTTAAAAAATTTTTTAAAAATATTTGGGGAAGATGTTAGTCACTGCTAAAGTAATGAATTAACAAAAGTACAGCCAAATCCCATTTAATTAAAAAATTAGCGTGATGAACGAACGTGGAATCCACTATTTACCTCAGCTTAAACTTCGTCTATGTATTTATGTCATTATATTATGATTTTAAATAAATATAATAAAATTCAAACTTTTACTTCCAGAAGGACCGTTTCAAAGTGATGCTCTACTTGTTCCGGAAGGATGTCTTTTTGATCACCTTCATAACCAAACAAAATGTTGGGAATCCCATAGGTAAAATATAAGTGTAATAATTTTAATCTATATATATATAATCAGACTTTTGTCTGTACACTGCTCAGAATTCAAAATTTTTTGTATATTTTTTCTTATTATACACTAAAAAATCCGAAAATGACAAAGAAAAAAAATGTCTAGATATGTTTGTCTGTCTGTCAACAAAATTTTCACCGCGCATCACGCGTAAACGGTTTGGTCGATTTACTTGAAACTTGGTAGAATTTTAGGTGTTGGTTCAATTTAAAATCCTAAATTTACAGAACTCAAAAATATTCAAAAGAACCGGAATATTACGAACGAATTTCGTAACTTTTTAAAATTTTCAATTTTAAATAAAAGATACTTAAATTCAATTAATAATTGTAAGATTTAAACACGGAGAGAAGTAGATAGTCGATTGAACTCAGCGCATAGTCATGACATTTTCGTTCAACAAAACAAAGAGTAAGCTTCACTAAACGGCCGTTTAGTTAGCAGGACTGCCAACGTGAAACGTATCGTTTACGATATGAACTGTAACAGCATTTATGTCAGATTTAAATAAAATGTGAGAAAATAACTTTAATAATTAAAATAATAATAACCTAAAAATAAGTATCATAACAATTAAAGTTTTGAAAATTGATATTTTATCTCGATTTCGTTTGATTTTTTTGATAGCATAGAATAATTGTTTAAAAATTGTTTTACACTATAGTTACTTAAATTAAACATTGTCAAATTTGTAATGTGATTGAAAAACATTATAATTTTTTGAAAATAAATATTTATTGATAGTTATTACGCTGACATACAAATACATAAACATAATCAAATATGATTTCGCAAATTTCTATAAATTGAATTAATTACACAGCATATCTGACTGCAATAGCATCTTGACCGTTGGGGAGACGATAATGTATTACAACATGTGGGTGCAACAAATTTTCAATTGATAAAAACGTAATATCATTTAAAAATAAAACTGTGTATGCCTGAAGCTCTGAACTAAATGATTCTGCTTTGGCCTTCTCACACACAAAAAATATTTTTTGATTTTCGCTGATCTCGATATTCAAAATTTTTCCGAATTATAACCATCGCAATCTACGTCTAGGATGATAAAGGAGTTAGATTTGTATTTAACTCCATTAAACTTTATCCATGAAACATCTAAGCAAGGTCCTGATAATAACATACTAGGAAGGGATTCGCAATGTAATATTTCATTTACAGACAGTGAAAAAATTGATTCCAAACTAGAAGTTCCTCCATACTCAAAATCAGAAACGAGTCCTTGGTTTGATAAAAATCGATAACATAATCGTAGTTGTTCTTTTATGGCGATTGTATGGCACGGGTTTTTTCTAGATGTTGTGGACAAGATCATGGTCTTCAATACTCGATGCTTGGATTCAAATCGTAGAAGACTGAGATGAGACAAAGGTCCTGACATTCTGATAGCGAGCGAAAAATGTTTTATATTGTGAAACTTCGGTTTTAACGTGTCGTTGAAAAGTTTTATATACAAATCATGGTGTCGAGTCACAAGCGTATCCAAAAGATCCAATGTTTCTATTCTCAAAGATTTGGCAAAACATATATCCATAATCTGTCTTAATAATGCGAAAAGCTGCCAAATTCCCTTCTTCATATCAATTCCACCCTTAATTAAGTCACTGCAAATAATTGGAAAAATTAAAATAGAGGTACGCATTTCGCTGGCGCTCATGTGTAACTTTTTATTCTTCACTTCGTCAGCTTTTATAGGAGGTGGCTTATTGGTAAATCCATTTTTTTCATAATTGAATGACAATAATTTTTCATTTAATGCATCAAGATTCAACGATTTCTCTTTTCCATAAATTAATTCATACAAAATATGCTGCATGTCATATTTGCAGACGCCTTCAAGAAGATCATGGGCTAAATCGAAAAAGAAGTTGTATACAATGTGGAACAGCAAGACGAGATTATAAATTGAATTTTCTTTTACGCCTGTCTCCTTTGGGTTTTGAAAACCATCCTCTTCGTATTGTTGAAGAGTTCGCAAAAGGTCATCTCGAAGGGGACAATTCTTGTGATTTTCAGCTTTCGTCATTTTACATACTCTGCAATAGCGTATCGCATTGGGACCTTCCTGGAAACCGCCAGAACTTTTAAAAGCTTCATTATCACCTAATAACAAACCTAAAACAAAAATCTACTTTAGTAATTGGTCCTTCTACATTCAATTCAACTTCACTTTCAAAAAGGAAATTCAACTCCTCTACGACTATCCCAAAAACTGTATCATTCCCTTCCTGAAGAGATTTTCTGTCATTTGCGTTAAATAAACCAGTTGTAAAAATGTTTTCAACCTTTCCACGAAATTCAGGAGGAAGACACGGTATTGAGTAATAAATGACTCCAATCTTGTTTACTCCAGCATGAGAACTTAGGGGATTGTTAATCTCAAAATCGTCATAATAGACAAATAATGGCAGAACAAATTTGTCACCAAAATCTTTTTTCTTTTTGTGCCATAGTTCGCCTTTTACAAAGTTTGATATTATGCCACTTTCTTTTTCTTCTTCAAGGTACTTCAAGTAATCTGTAATTTTAGGTAATACATCTGGCATTGACAAAAAATTTTTTAAAACATCTCCTATTGGGATAAATTCAGCTGTAACACTGGTCCTCTCTTTAATGACTCTGCCTTGATGGAAAATATTTTCAAAGCGATCACCGATAACATAATCTCTAGCTTGAACATATTTTTCTGTTTTTTCAATGGCTCGCATTCTCAGATATTCAGTTGACAAAGTGCTTTGAAATGGTTTCATTACTGCATCCGTGACTTTTTTAAAATGCAATTCATACTTTTCTGGATTTTCTGTCGATTTTAAATACGGTTTAATCGTAGAAAAAATATTTGTTAATAGTTCGCTAATTTCTTCAACTTGTTTTTGAACGTGGCTACGATTTAATTTTGGATCAGCGTACAATTTACAAACATAATTTAAAGCAATTTTTTCTACTGTTTTTTCAATATCTAAAGAAAAATCAGTTGGTAACGAAGTCTCTAGCCTGATGGGAATGTCGTTTTCTTTTTATTTCGGAAGACACATTCTACTTTGGAGAAGTGTACATTTACTGTGGGCTCAAGGTTTTCTTCAACTAAATGGTCAGATTGAATTTCAGATTTGTGGTCTTTTATCAAGTGCTTACGAAAATCTCCCCAATATTTATAAACTCGGTAACAATCATTCTCTTTACATTTGAACAAATCATTATAATTTTTATGAAATATCTTCAAATGTAACTTTAAACTATCAACAGTTTGTTTTGTTTCTTCGTAAATAGTACACCGTGGCATTTTCAACAAACGAAAAAATTAAAATAGAATTAAAAATGAAAACGTGATTAAAATAAATCTTAACCAAAATAATCGAAATTTTTGAGTAACTTTTCGACTGCGCTGCTGGATGGATCCCATGGGGTATTTATTCCATAAACAACTTTTTGGAATAGAAGCCAAATAGGTCCTACGATGATTGCAAAGGGCGAGATGTGTAATTTATTAGCTACAGCTCGATTAATCAGTCTGTCAATCTCAGTCTTAAAAGAATCATTACTCTGAAAAAAATATTAATTATCAAATTTAAAATATTGACAATCATAAAAATCTGTATTAAACATTATCTTAAAAAGAATTTTTTTCAAAATTTACTTTCACATGGAGAATGAAAACTTCTTTCATTTCTTCGCTATTTGCAACCCACGTTTTGCAAACTCGCTTGGACTTCTGTACTGATGTAACTATGTTACAGAATTTTACGAGTACCTCTCCATCACTAGAATCTGAAAAAAGTTAAATTAGAACTAATTATATGAATAAATTTTGTAATTTAATGTTATGTTTTTCATTTATATTTTATTTTACTGTTGATTTTATATTATATATTTTTTTTATTATGTATTATTTATTTTAGCAACTAATTAAAATTTTTTTCTTTAAAATAATATGAGATTAGAAAAAATTATTAAATTACTGGTTTCATTAGTTTCCCCAGATAATTGAAGAACTTTTCTTTTAAAATCTGTCCACTTTTCAAACAGTTTGTTACTATAGGCAGGATACTTTGTCAAAAAATCTTCTTCTAACTATAAATAATTAAAACTTGTAACAACTTTTTCAATAAAATATATTTTAACAATAATATTTCCAGCAAGTGTCCTCCCGGTTGCCTTAAAAATGGATACTTGACAAAGTAATTATTAAGGGGACTTTCTGGTTTAGAATTGACAAAAAAGGAAGGTTTTAAAACCTTTATTGTAAGAACAGTATTAAATAAATTGTAAAAACTATTTTTGGACATTGTAGCACATTGCGTAGAGAAAATTTAAAAAATATGTTTGAGTGTATTTAGTTCAATTTCATAGCTGTAGGTGGCGTGTTCCAAAAGATACCTTTTTTTTGGTACGTTAGATTCCGGGCAACCTGTAATACATAAATTCAAGTTCCAAACGGGAATCTCTTTATAAGGATTTATTCTTGTGCCTAAACCTCAAAATCGATTTTTTTTAAAGGTTTTTTTATTTTTTATGTACATTTTTCTCAAAAACTCGCAAAAACGCCGTGTTTTTGGGTCAATTTACCTCCATATAAAAACACAGGGGGTAGAAATATGAGTTTTTAGAGGTTTAGGCACCAGTTTTTTAAATAAAGAATCGAAAAATTGTTGGGATTTCAAAATCGGTTCGGTAGATTTCGAGAAAAGCTCTGTACCAGTTTGAAAAATGAGTTTTCGAGAAAAACGCGTTCAATGTTTTCATAACATAATTCATTGAGTCATGAATATCAAACAACTTTTTATTACAATAGAACTTCGTATCCCGCTGTTTTTGGGGTCGCTGATTACGAATTTGATGTCCGTTTTGGAAAATCCAAAATGGCGGATCCAATATGGCGGACGAAAAAATAAAAATTCAACCGGATTTGCTTAAAACTTGTTACTCGGGGGTTTTTG